AGGGGCCGACATGATGTGCTTGGAGCAGAGGGAGGGCCACCGTCGCTGGTACAGGCCTCCCCGCGCACTGATGCTATGTGTGGTGGCCACTGTCGTCGGAGGGGGCTGGGCCATGTGCTTCCTCCTCCCCGTGCGCCTCCTCCTCCCGCCAGCCGCCTTCGCTGCCTCCCCACCAGAGAGGGAGGCATGCGTGGAGGGATGGATTGGAGGGAGAGACCGATGAGAGAGGGACCGAAGAGAAAGACGAGAGAGAGAGGGACGGATGAGAGACGGACGAGGGAGAGTTATTTCCGCTGCGCTCCTGGAAGACCGCGGAGCTCAGAGCGATGGATGAGAGTTATTTCTGCACACGTGGCGAAGCTAGAGTAGCCGCCAGCCCCGCTTCCGGATCGCTGACATGAAGTAGCACACGGATCACCCCAACGCGTAGCACATTTGTGCTTTCTCACTGCGACCGACATGCGGGCCCCACTCCCACTCCCATTCCTGTGCGCCCACACCTTGAGGTCTAAACACAGCGCTGAATAATCGAGGCGGTTATAATACCCGCCTCGGTTAATAGGCATTAACCGAGGCTATTAACCGAGGCGGTTGCGTTATAATGCCTGCCTCGGTTAATAGGCATTAACCGAGGCGGTTATATTACATTACTCGCCTCGGTTAAGCATTAACCGAGGTGGTTGCTGGGCTGGCTGCCCTACCACGAATAACCGAGGCGGGCAGCCCGCCTCTGAGGCCATTTTGAAAATGCCTCACAAAAGATTTTATGTAGTATCAGCTTGCATTGCAATGCTCGATGCATGACCAGGCGTGAGACCACCATCTCCTCCTCACATCCATGCATCCATCTTCTCTCCACATCCATGCATCCATCTCCTATCGTGGAGTTGGAAATGAGGAAGAAGAAGGTCTACTTGCTTATTTCCATGATCCTAACCACCTCACGTGCTCCTCATGTGTGTGGCGGCATAGGGCATGATTGGTTCATGTTTCACAGCAACCTGGCCCGTATGTGAGAGCCAGGCTCTGGCTAGACAGGTTTCGTGCATACGGGATGATGGTGTTTGGTTCCTATCCTTCTATAGCCTGGCTACAGTGAGATCTTGATTGGTTGCCTGTTTTTCTCATTCGAAATACCTTCCTGCTATGCTCCTGGATGCACAGGTTGCATCACCCTGGCCTAGCTCATTGGAAACGAAAGCTATCTGTGTTTCTACGGAGCTTGGCTGGGAGATGCCTGTTGCATGCGGCGAGCTAGGTTGCATTCATCGGCCAAGCATCCAAACAGCCAAAATCTGCATGAGCTCATGCATGGCTGTGGGCATACACGCCCATAGTCTACACCACGCTGGCGATGCCACATAGGCCAAAAGTTAGCTCCCGAGCTGTTATGGACCTATGTGACACAATTAAACAATATTAAGGTGTCGGAAATGTATTTTGAGAGTTTATGGACATACGTGGCACATTTGAACAACATTAGGGTGCTAGAAATGTATTTTGAGAGTTTGTGGACCTAAGTGGCATCCTAGACAAGTTCTCGGTGCCGCTATCGATCCTACCGACGCCATGGTCGCACCTCCGCCACCGTCGTCGACGGTGGGAGTGGGACTCCTTCGGGATGCAGGCCGCACCTCCGCCATTTTTGGCTACAACTACTTCCATGGCGGCACCATCGTTGGAGATGGGACTTCTTGGAGGAATGTCTGCACCCGTTGTCGTGGAGGTCATGTCGCCGCAGAAGGTATAAGCCAACTCCAATGGTCTGTGCCACAAGATGAAGGCCAACACCCTACTTCTGGTGGACCTCGTTACGCAAAGGGCTACATCATGCTGCATACATGTTCTTTAAATATGTATTATGCAATGTGCACTACTCTAAGTATACATTACTCTCTAAAATACAATCAATAGGCAGTGCTCTGAATATGAAATGTGTGTGTGCACTAAATATGCATATATGCTCTCTAAACAAGCAGTCAGGTGTGCCTTCTAAAGAATTATTGTATATCAATTTATGCTACTTGGATAAGCATTGTATGTGTACATGTGTTATCTAAAAAGGATGTATGCTCTCATAAATGTATCATCCACATGATGAAATAGCGTCATTAGCTTGGCGCCAATTGGAACAATAACAAAGGTTCAGGAGATAAAAGGATAGGTTTCTCCTAAACCATCGTTATGAGACTAGGGTGAAGCTCATAGCGAACAACCAGGATGGCTTTAGATGACTTTGGTGGCTCCAAACTAGCGCCCTTTGGAGCAACGAATTCCAAGATAGGAGTTTGGTCCATTGTATATAAAGATAAAAGAAAAGGATAAAAGAAAGATAACTTCGATGACTCAACTCTCTCTCTATTTGCATACTACAAGGGCAAGGCTTCGCCCAAGGTACTAGAATGTAGTTTTCTCCTTTGTGTCATGAATGAGAGTGAGAGGTAGGAGGTATTTATATCATTTCTAGGTGGACTCATGGATCCATGTGACATCCCTTCTTTGCCAAAGGATCAAACCAACCATAAATCAAAGGCTAAGATCAAGCTTCCATGCTTGGGGCCATGCACAAAGGTGGTGGAGCCAGATGGGGGTTCAGTCGACCTATGACAGGTGGGGCCTCCCCTCTTGGGTGTAGGGCCTCTTGCCTTCATCTAGAATGGGTAAGTGTTGTCCTTTTTTTCTTGGCACGTCGGTTTCTTGCAAGGTGGGTCCTTAAATCCATGTGATCTCATCTCTAGCCATTAAAAGAAAACACACTTGTGATCTAAGGGTTGATATTGCTCTAGAAGTGTTTGGGAGGTTCATGGGAGGCTTGAGAGGGGGTAGTGGGCCCATAGGGTGGTTGGTCGACCCTCAATGTGGGCCCACAACCACCCAAAGTCCTTTATTTTCATACCTACAAGCAAATAATGACATGTACATGTGGAGCTAAGTTATTTGTACCAAAATCACTACTTCCTTCTTGTTATCTCCCAAAAAGGATGTTTTGTTGACGATTTTGACTTTGTAAATATGTGATGAAATTACTGTCAACACGAACCTAAGGCGTATGAGGACCGATGATGCCAGAAGCTGATGGACGGGGAGGTCTACGTCGCCGCACCAGCTACTCAGTTGTACCTACGCTACTCCGAGCAACCGATCACCTTCGACGGGAGCAACCACCTCGACCATGTCGTGGAGGCTAGTCATTTTTCCCTTGGTGGTCAGCGCAATGATAGATACCATCAAGACAAAGATCATCATGGACGCAGGTAGCGTGGCATCAACATCCTTTACAAGGATGCTTTTGACAGATTAAAGATCAATCCTAGAAAGCTTCCCACCTCGGAATCTCCCTTCCACGGGATCGTACTCAGCGGCGTGTGATGCCTCTGGGCATTATTGTCCTCCAGGTCACTTTCAGCAACTCCATACACTACTGCAAGGAGACACTCTCTTCGAGGTCGTCGATTTTGAAGGACCATACCATGACATACTAGTCTCTTTCTTTTTACACTATTCATTAATTAAAAAAATTAATTCAGGTAGCTCTAAGTTAGATAATTGATTCAACTAGATCTAAGAGCAAGTTTAATAAAGTTGACTATAAGCCAAGTCAAACTAGCAAAAGACTAGCTCAACAAACAAGCTATACAACAATCTAGTCCCTTCTTCTCCACCAAATACAATTATTTATTATGCGTGGGCCCCATCCACTCTTTCCCTCCCTTCCCCCCCTCTCGGGCCACGGTCAACACATCCGTCTATAAGCTTCTTGTCTTTCCCCGTTTCTCTCCTTTTCATCTTAGATTATGCTGGTTTGTCTTGGCTATAAGTTCAAGTTGATATGGCTTATTGTACTTGTTCTAAGTTAGATTATTGATTCAACTAGCTCTAAGCTAGAGCATGGAAGACGTCTAACATAAGGCTAGTTTGGAATGAAGAATTTCTAAAGGAAAAAAAGCAAATGAATAGATTACTTAGGAAAGTTTTCTTAATTTGGTGTTCAGCACAAAAGAAATCTGCATTCATTTTTAGAGGAAAGGCCAACCTTGCTTCACAAAACACTAGGAAAAAAACATCTAAGGAAACCCAAAGAAAAAATTCTGCAATGTTTTCTCAAGTTCTAAAGGCTGGAACCTTGCTTCTTGGGCACATTTGATATTCCTATTTTTCTGCAACTCAAACACCCAAAGTTTCCATTGTGTTTTCAAATCATGTAGTTTTCTATTTTCGCTCTATTCTATCCGTTCCTTTGTTTTGTACATTATTGTATTCCAAACAGGTTCTTAAAAACAAATCGATTTGTTCCTTGCGTCTATCTCACGATCTACCGCACAAATTCTGTGCCTAGAAACAGTTCCCAAGACCTATTACGGTAGATATCCGTAGCCAACCCTGCATCTGTTTTCAGTGCTGGTTTCCCAATTGCCATTGACCCTCGAAGTTTGAACACCAAATAAAAGAATAAGGGCATATTTGATTCCTTCCCCTCCTCCTAAAATTCCTATCACATTAAATATTTTGACACATATATGGAGTATTAAATATAGATTAATTATGAAACTAATTGCACAACTTACGATTAATTTGCGAGACGAATCTTTTAAGCCCAATTAGTCCATGATTTGACAACGTGTTGCTACAGTAAATATGTGCTAATGATAGATTAATTAGGCTTAAAAAATCGTTTCAGAAATTAGTCTACATTTATATAATTAGTTTTATAATTAATTTATATTTAATATTTTTTATTAGCTTCTAAATATTTAATGTGACATAAATTATAAATTTTAAAAGCGCCTAACAGACCAAACACCCCCTGAGCTGGTCTGGGCCGACCAAAGCACTGTCCTTCAGACTTCAGTCCTTCAATCCCCATTTCCTACCGACGGCCGAGGGGGCCACATCTTTGGCTTTTCTCCCGGTTTTGCCCCCCGGCCCTGCCGAGCTCCAGCAGGGGAGGCGCTGCGCTGCACTCCGCTTCACGCCAGATCCAACCTCACCAGCTCGCCCCCATGGCCGCCCGTTTCCTCCTCGCCGTTGCCGTTGCCGTCGCTCTCCTCCTCCGCCCCGGGGATGCGTCCGTGCACGAGTACCGCGGGCTCAGCTTCGCCAACAAGGGCAACGCCTTCATCCTCCACGCCGGCAGCGAGGGCCTCTACGCGGCCTCCCACGCCAACACCACCGCCGAGGACGACGAGGACGCCGCCGCGCTGCCCGACGCCTTCATCCGGTAATGTGCTAGCCAGTAGCCGTTCCGGTTCGCTATCCGGTGGCTAATTTAGTTTGATGCCTGCGTCTGCAGTACAAGGGGAAGGGGTTGGCTGCGGTACAGGTACAGCGGGGTGGATGCTGGCAGCCGGGTGGATCGACCTGGGCACTCTGCCGCCCGACACTTGGATGGGTGCGGGTTTTGCGAGAATCTAGTAATCTTGCGTCAAGGTGTGCAGCTACTGTTGTGTCGGTGGCAGCTGGGAGGCGAGCGACAGAGCTATATGTGTTCGTTCATCTGTATTGCCCTGAGTAGAATTTACCTCGCGGGATATGAGAATTATAGCTAAATAGGGTGACTTTGGGTCATCAATTTGCTAATGGTGAAAGTGAGTTAACATTGGGTGACATTGGAGAGGAACAACCTCAAGCACGTGTTTTGTACTTATTCAAATGCAGATGCATCTCATAAACGCAATAGAAAAGAAGTGCTGTTTTCTCAATGCAAATATCAATTTGGAAGCCAGGCTTTGTGATCATTTCCAAAAATGCTGCGAGCTTTCTATACCTTGAGTCTTTATTTACTTGCAAGCTGATTACAGCGAGTTCAGTTTTCATCTCTGAAATCATTTATTTAGTAGCGGTACAAGTATATTGACCACTGTCATGCAGAAATACACACATGCATTTTGCATCTATTCAATTCAGTCTAATCTGACACTTGGATTCAGATGTTTGACTTTCACATTTCTACTATTTTTCAGGTTTGACAAGATTACTTTTAGGCGACCAGAAGATACTAACGATTCTGTGAAGGGGGCTAGTTCAGCTAAGGTTCAGGTACTTGTTTTTGAGATAGAAGACCGTGAAATGATTGGTGGATCAGCGTATGGAGGTCAGAAGGCTATTTGTTGTACTTCAGATCTTGCCAAATTAGGAGCTTGCGCAGAAGGTTCTGTCATCTACCGCCCATCCCAGGTAAATCCTGGTTGGCCAAAGTTGTTTGTTGCATCTTTTGATGGAAGTGATCTGATCGCAACGCTACCATCACGGACCATTCCAATTACCAAAACTGGGATGTACAATATGTACTTTATACACTGTGATCCATCACTTGCTAGTTTGGAAATCGAGGGGAAAACCATATGGAAAAATCCTACTGGATACCTTCCGGGTCGGATGGCACCTCTTAAGAACTTTTTTGGACTGATGTCTTTTGCATTTGTTGTACTCGGGATCTATTGGTTTTATCAGTACATGAAATCTTGGAGAGAGGTTCTTCCACTTCAGAACTGTATTACTCTTGTGATTACACTGGGCATGTTTGAGATGGCATTGTGGTATTTTGAGTATGCTGAGTTCAATGAGACTGGAGTTCGGCCAAAAGGTATCACATTTTGGGCTGTCACGTTTGGAACTGTAAAGAGGACGGCTGCTGAAGTTATTGTTCTCATTGTCTCAATGGGATATGGTGTTGTCACGCCTACTTTGGGTGGCTTGACATCGGAAGTGGTCATGCTTGGAGGAACGTTCTTTCTAGCAACAGAAATTCTTGAGTTGGTAGAAAATCTTGGTGCTGTTAATGATCTATCTGGAAAAGCTCGTCTGTTCTTGGTCTATCCAGTGGCCATTTTAGATGCCGCATTTGTTATTTGGATATTTATTTCTCTAGCTAAGACCATTGGTAAACTTCAGGTGACCAAAACCTCTTCTTTGTATCCTTTATCCCTGCAGTATCAGTATTGCTACACTATATATCCTTTGTGCTTGCATTAAAATTTTTTCCCCAGGCACCGACTTATGTGATATGAATACTAATGTTTTCTAATCTTTGGCTGTGAATGATAGGCTAGAAGGTTGATGGCCAAACTTAACATTTATAGGAAGTTTGCAACTGCATTGATCGTATCTGTTCTGGTGTCTGTTGGGTGGATTGGCTATGAGGTATGCTTATTTATGTCAAAGCCGTATTCTAACTCCAGAATTATCAAGGGAGTATTGTTGCATTTCACAAAATTAGATTGGTTCCTCTTCAGTGTTTGCAGCTGGAGATCAGGAGTGTAACTTTAAACTGCACCTTTCTACTTTCAAGAATCTGTCCATTTTGCCTTGTTTGAATTCATGTGTTTGCACGTTACATGGTTATGCATCTGTTTCATAACTCATTGATGTCATTGCAATTTCTTCCCTGCAGATTTACTCCAAATCAACAGATGTATTTAATGAACGATGGCAGCATGCCTGGATTATTCCTGCCTTCTGGCATGTCTTGTCTTTCTTACTTCTTTGTGTCATTTGCTACCTGTGGGCACCTTCACAGAACTCAATGAGGTATGGTCCTAATAGTTTTGTAACTTTCAGCTGGACAATGTTTCTGGTTCAACAACAACAACAACAACAAAAGCCTTTAAGTCCCAAACAAGTTGGGGTAGGCTAGAGTTGAAATCCAGCAGAAGCAATCAAGGTTCAGGCACGTGAATAGCTGTCTTTCAAGCACTCCTATCTAAGGCTAAATCTTTGGGTATATTCCATCCTTTCAAGTCTCCTTTTATTGCCTCTACCCAAGTCAACTTCGGTCTTCCTCTGCCTCTCTTCACGTTACTATCCTGGCTTAGGATTCCACTACGCACCGGTGCCTCTGGAGGTCTCCGTTGGACATGTCCAAACCATCTCAACCGGTGTTGGACAAGCTTTTCTTCAATTTGTACTACCCCTAATCTATCACGTATATCATTGTTCCGAACTCGATCCCTTCTTGTATGACCGCAAATCCAACGCAACATACGCATTTCCGCGACACTTATCTTATGAACATGTCACAATGTTTCTGGTTAAAAATGGAAAAGAAATCTTATAGCTCTTTGGCTTTCCTTTTCAGATTTTCCTATGACGCAAGCGAATTCTTTGATCGAAAGGACAATCTATCATTAATTAGGCCAGCACCCAGTGCTTCCAAGAATGGGTGGAGTTTATCTTCCACACCAGAGCCCAAAGCTACAAAGGACGTGAATACCGTAACAGATTTTGAAGGTGATGATGAGGAAAACAAAAGGGAGTAGAATGTACTGTCAATTTGATTAGGGGAGGGTATATTTGAGAATCTTTTGAAGTGGGTGCTAGAGCAAGGAGAGGATTGGCCATGCTAGTTATTATTAATGGAGCACGCCACTTGAGGTTATTTCTTTCGTTGGTTCTTTACCACCATAGTTCTTCGCATGGCCAGTTATGTTGTTATCATCATAGTCTGAATGATGGTATATGATAGAAACAATTAGTCTGATGTATAATATTTATATTGTTGGCACCATATTGCTTCTGGTCCGTGTGAACCTACATATGCTACGAATGTTAGAGAATAAATTATTTTGCTGGATCTTTGTTAGAATTTCACTTGATTGTCTAATGTCTCAATATGCTTTTGCCATCAGACATGATCTGTAATTGGTTAGATACATGGGGTCAAAAGCGACAACAAGGCTATCTCATTTAAACCTTTGAATTCGTAAATGTTAAAAGACATTTCCTTGATGGTCCTTTTTGCCTTAGTACTCCGTACAAGGGATACGATTGTATAAATTTAAAATCACACCTATACAATTAATTTCTGCCTTCTAGAAAGAACTTCACTTGGCACACTGGTCAGTGTGATGCCCCAATTGGTTTACGGATTGATGCTCGGCAGTTCAATCCAAAAGTAACGTCGTTTTAGGCCTTTCGGGAATATGCCCTTGTTTGATCAGCCAGTCATGATCGGTTAATAGAACTACTATAGTCAAACCAGTTGGCATCGCTTGCTTCGGTTCTTCCTGTCGCCGACATGCATTGGACCAATCGAGGGAGGCAGGCCGCAGGCAGGGAGCATTACAAATTTACACGATCCTTTCAGCGCATGGCCATCGGAGGAATGATTCCTGGTCTCTCGAGAATGTCAATGCTGAGTGCTCCAACAGGCCAAGAACAACATGGCCGGGGGCCGGCCTACGTCCGGCAGTTCGAGTTCGGCACCCAACAAAAGCCGAAACCACTGGACGGCGGTCATCTACTCGTCTCTGCACACTGCATTGCATGTGCGCGGCTGATTGGACGGACGGCAGCCTTGGGCGGAAGTTGGCAGCGGGCGCGCCCGTGCCCCGAACCGAGCCGAGCCGCCCGACCACTATCCATCCGGTTGCCGGTGACTGGTGGGGATCTGCCAAAGCAGTGGCCGGCGAAACGCGATCCCAGATTCCGCCGCCTCGGCTCACGGGACACACGGCGGCACAAAACGCGCGCTTCTCACGGTCACGGCCTCACAGGCGTCGCTTGCAGAAACGGCACGCCTCGCGCCGTGTCTCCGCTGACTGCTGGTCTGCTGCCCTTCCTTTGCCCAGGTCCAGCCGTCCAGGCATGCGTCGACTGCAAACTAAACTCTTCAGGAGACACTGGGATTTCTGTTTCTGGCTTTACTTCGTTGCTCTGATCCTGCGCTTGTGCTTGCGCCATGCGGTGCTATGTCTGGGCTAGAGTGGTATAGACTTCTACTAGAGTAGGTACTACCAGTCAATTGATCATGGTTGATGGAGTCAGCAGCCGGCTTGCCTGGGAGTAGTAGCTGACTGGTGTTAAGTCAATCATTCTATCTGCCAGGAACTGCGGTCTCGTGTTTGATTCAGTTGGAGAAGAATTCATGGACGCGCCTGTATCAAGCTGGTTTTCTTCCTCATTCGGGGATGAAGTAAACACATCAAGGCAGAAATGCCTGCACAACATGGTTGAGCAGAGTCAGTCCGTTGCACTTGGATACAAACACAAAGCTCGCGGGTAAGGTGAAAACAGATTCCGAAGTTCATAACAATTTGAAAAAGAAGTATTCTGATGGCATAAACACGCAAAGATCAGTAAAGGCAGGCCATTGATGTTTTCACTCTGGAGATAAGACTGAAGAGAGGGGTACAGTGAAATATAGTGAATTGATGAAGTGATGGGCCATCGATATTAGCTTAGTACCTTACAGTTCAATGCTTATAAGCGTAACTGATTGCAGCATATAACAATGCTAAATAGAGAACGAAACAGTGACTGGCACCACATGTAATCACAGGTATTCAATCACTACCCTGTTACTGAACCGACCAAGCACATGTCACTACTTACATAATAGCCACTTGTAACTACAGTTCACTGCTTTTTTCTCAGGTTTAAGATAAATTCTAGGGAATTGTATTCACAACCTCTAAATGGAACAAATTCTAGGGAATTGTATTCACAACCTCTAAATGGAACAACAACTGTCATACACACAAATTTCGAGTCGTGACTACGCTGCAATAAAGTAGTTAGTCTTCAACTCTTTGTTAAAGTGCAATGTTGGCTCTTAGTAACTTTCACTACTGTTTAAGTTCCAAGTTAATCTGCAGAGAACCAGAGGAATGGTTTTTATGTAACCATTCTATAAGAACTGTGAAGTGTATATTAACATGATGAGTAACATGAGTTGCGTAACTCACCTTGAAGCAAAAAACAGAATAAAAAAACATGATATTGACATGATGTAAGTGTTTGATCAGCACGTCATATTATTAGTAGATCGAGAAAGTAAACAATTTATCAGGTTTAAAGCATAAGGTTTTATACTGGACCTAATTAAAATAAGCCCATTGACATACTACAACCTACTAGTGTGCTGCAAGAAACTTGAACTTACCATTTCGCTGCATAACAGTAGAATCCTACACACATTTGTGTGTCATGGGGGTCCAAGGTGCGGCAGTAGTCCCCAAAATAAGTAAGAAAAAATAATGATACAAAAGAGTAAATGCCAGCTTTTTCTCATTATTGAAGAGAAATGAGCAAACATCTTTTTTTTTTCAGTCAGGTAGAATGTTTGCATGGAAAATATGACTGGAACTTTAATTATAGACATTGTAGTTGTATAGTGACTAATGCTATATTGCACCCTTATTTACTGTGATGATTGCAAAGACATGTAAAGCAGAAAAATCCTCCAAACATATATTTCAAGGCCAGAAAAATGGCATTGCGCAATTGCATCATATGTGCATAACCTTAACATTACAATTTCTTTTTGCACCTCATCTATCAAGCAGCATTCTTCAGATACGTGTGAACCACCAAAACGAGGATACAATACAGCACTGCTAAATGTCAAACAGATACAGAAGTTACAACTTACAACTATGTTACATGGCTAAAAGAACATTCCTATATAAACACGCTACTCACAAGAATATAAACAAGTGTAACAAATGAAAAAAGATCGCTTACAGTGGAAGAAATGGGACTTTTGATAGCTTTTTATCAAGATCCTGACCCCGTTTCAGATTACCTCTAGTCAAAGAAATCATCACCAACTATAGCCCTCTGCCTCAGGAAGACAAAACAAAAGACCCAACTGCATTTGTTGGCCTGTCCCCAAAGAATTAAAGAATACATTGCAAGAAGACTAAGCTTTTTCAAGCCATCTTTCATCCATGAGATCTCCTCCTGTTATGCGGTGGTGGTGGAGATCCCTCAAAGAAATCTGCCATTGCTATCTCAAGATCCTCAACTGTGTACTTGATGTACAACTCAGGGTGCCTGCTGTTCTCTATGTGATGCCGGAACCTACCAAGGAAGGATCGATACGCTGGGAGCAGCTTCTCCGAAATTGAGATCCTAAGCTCTTCTCGCAGTTGTGTGTCTGGCACATACCACGCAGACTGGACCCTGTGTGCCTCCTCAAATGCAGCATTGAAAGCCTTGAATCGCTCCCGTAGTGCCGATTTGGATATCCCAGACGAAAAGCCACCACTAACATGGAGGCCCTCATCTCTGAGACAATTCAGGATCTTCAACCATGCAGTTCGCTGGTAGCTTGTAGCTGCCTGCCAGAATTTCCCTGTGAGCCGCTTCAAATACTCATCCCCAATTAGCCCCCGAAGTTCAGCTGAATCCTTTACTTTGTGCACGATATAGTGCACATTGTTCATAAGGAACAAATGAGACAGTGCTGCATCCTTGTAGAGTGACGCCTTGCTCTCAAGGTTGTGTTCAAGAACAACAATAATCCAGACAAGATGAGTGGCAAGGGGCAACTGGCTGTCAGGATCGGCCGGGTCAAGATCAGGGAAGGCCGGTGTAGCCTCATTGCCCTCAGCAGCAGTCCGGGAGCTAGCTGATGGCCGCGAGATGATAAGCTCAGAGAGGGTGGCCTTGTAGTCCGAAATGAGGGTGCTGTAATTCATAACATAGCGAGTGAGCGGGTGGATGGTGCCGCCGGGCACTGGAGTCTTGGATGGGTCGCGGAGCAAGGCGTTCTCAAACTCCAAGAGTATCCCACGCACGGCATCGGCCAACCGCGACCTGATCTCGGCGGCCTGCACGTATATCGACTCGGCGGCCTTGGAGGCGGCGAAGATGTCGGAGATGTCAGGCAACATATCGGAGAGCGCGTCGTGGAGGTCAATGATCTTGAACAGCTTCTCCGGGGAGCGGCGCCCGATGCTGATGGCTTCAGCGAAGCCGAAGAGCTGCAGCGCCGCGCCCTTGACGACCTCAGCGAAGGGCGCGTCGTCCGCGGCGGTGGCGGTGGCGGTGGAAGTGCAGAGCGGGAGGTCGTGGAAGATGTGGAAGCAGAGGCGGCGCTCGCTGGCGAAGACGCCCCGGACGGCGGCGCGGGCCGCGCGGATCCAGCGGCGGATCTTAGCCTCGAGGGCGTTCCACTCGAGCCGCTGGACGTCGCCGATACTGAGCTTCTCGACGCCGAGCCGGCGCAGGGCGGAGTCGACGGCCGGCTTGCGGACGGAGGCGTACACCTGGACGCACTCGCGGCCGTAGCCCGCGGCGGCCATGCGGGAGGCGATGGCGTGGAGGTCGGAGATTGCGTCCGCGGGGAAGAGGTCGATCTCGCGGATGCTCTGCAGGGAGCGGTAGCTGCTGCGCCTGCCGACGGAGGACGACACGGAGGAGCTGTCGTCGTCGTCCCCCGCGGGCGGCGCCTCGGTGGCGTCGGAGTTCCTCCGGTCGCTGCTGGACATCGAGAGCGAGCTGAGGCCCGCGAGCGCCTCGATCTCGAGGTCGA